GGAAGATTGAACTTCATGAAAATATCAGTACTACCCAAAGCAATCTATACATTCGTTGCTATCCTAATCCAGATTCCATCAACATTTTTTAAGGATATGGAATAACCAATAACTAATTTTATATGGAAAGGAAAGAGACCTCAGATAAGCAAAACACTATTGAAGAAGAACAACAACATAGGAGGTCTCACTCTCCCAGATCTCAAAACCTGTTATACAGCCTCAGTAGTCAAAATAGCTTGGTATTGGTTTGACAGACACATAGACCAGTGGAATAGAACTGAGAACTCAGAAACAGATCCATCCATCTATGTTCCGCTGATCTTTGACAAAGGGCCAAAATCTTTTAAATGGCAAGAGATAGTCTCTTTCACAAATGGTCCTGGCAAAACTGGTTAGCCATTTGCAGAAAAATGAAATAAGATCCATACCCCACACCATACACTAAAACTAACTCCAGATAGATTAGAGACTTAAATGTGAAACCTAAAACTATAAAGTTGCTCAAGGAAAAAATTAAAGCAAATTTAGGGGCCCTAATTTATGGTATAAATAGATTATCAAGCATAACCTAAAATGCACAAATAGCAGAAAATAAACTAAATGATTCGGACCTTCTGAAAATTAAATTTTTATGTGCTTCAAAAGGCTTCTCCAAAGGAGTAGAAAGAGAACCTACAGACTGAGAAAAAATATTTGGCAACAATATCTGACAAGAGACTTATCTCCAAAATTTACAGAAAACTCCAACACCACAACAACAAAAAGACAAAAAGTCCAATTAAAATATGGGCAGAAGACATGAATAGACACTTCACCAAAGAAGATATTCAGGCAGCCAACAAACACATGAAGAAATTTTCATGATCATTAGCCGTTAGAGAGATGCAAATCAAAACAACGAGATACCATCTGGCCCCAGCACTAATAGCAAAGTTTAACAAGACAGAAAGTAACAAATGCTGGCGAGGATGTGGTGTGACTGGGACTCTCATAGACTGCTGGAGGGACTGTAAAATGATACAACCACTGTGGAAATCAGAATGGTGATTCCTTATAAAGTTTGAAATAGAAATACATTTGATCCAGCAATCCCATTACTAAGTATATATCCTAAAGAAGTGAAAGTCAGGACAAGAATAGATATATGCACACCCATGTTCATCGCAGCACTATTCATAATAGCAAAGAGATGCAAACAACCTAAGTGCCCATCAACAGAAAATGGATAATCAAACTATGGTACATACACACAATGGTATACTAAGCCAAAAACCAAACTCACTGCCATCGAGTTGATTTGGATTCATAGTGATGCCCATTGGGCTTCTGAGGTGGTAAATCTTTAAGGAAGTAGATTGCCTATCTTCTTTCTGTGGAGTGGATGGTGGGTTTTAACCACCAACCTTCTGATTAGCAGTCAAATGCCTTAGGCACTATGCCAGAATAGCATGCAACACTAAAGAATAATGTAGAATCTGCAAAACACCACATAACATGGATGAAGTTGGAGGATATAACACTGAGTGAAATAAATCAATCACAGAAGGACAAATATTGTATTAGTTCACTATTGTAAAAAGTTATGGAAAGGTTTATATATGGGAGGAAGTTTTCTTTGTTGGTTACCAGGGATGGGAGTAGATGGGAGGGAACACTGCTAGATAGGTAGAGACAAGTACTAATTTGGGTGAAGGGAAGGGCAATGTACCAAAAGTGAGTGATCAATACAGTCACACTGAGGAAGTGGAAGACATAGAGAGGTACATGGGAAGTACAGACAACAAAGATGAACTCTTTTGCATGTACAGTCCTGCATTGTCAGTGATGGCAAGCATTGATCTACGGATGGATAGACGGGTGGACAGGTTGAATGATCAGGTATGTCTAGGCAGGGGGGAGCATGCCCATGACCATGCATAAGGTTGGCAGACAATGATTCTACATGCATGTTTGTTTGTACTGTAAGAATGTCCAGGTGTATCTTGGAGCTCACAAGGGGCAAGTTTGTGGTGGCTTCTCAGCCACAGCCAGCTACCTGGAGGGAATGAGTAGTTGGACCTGTGGCTCGGCACCATGGTTGCAGGGGACACCAAGCTCAATTGGCATAACATAGTACACAAAAACATTGTTCTACATCCTACTAGGGTCTTAAAAGCAAGCATGTGGCCAACAATGGTTTCTCCTCATCCAGAGCAAAGAAGAATGAAGAAAACTAGAGATACATGGAAACAATTAGTCCAAGGGACTGATAGACATTGCAGTCCTCAGCCTATATGACCATGAGACCAGAAGAATAGATGGCATCCAGTTACTAATGTCAAGCATTAAGAAGGGAATTGTTTCAGGAGGTCCTGCATAGAGTGGGAAAACAATGTGTAACAAACCTCAAAATCATGAAAAAAGACCAGGTTTGCTGGTCTGATAGAGCCTGGTGAAACTCCTGAGACTATGGTCCTAGTTACCTTTCAGGTCTAGAACTGAACTCACTCCTGTGGCTTCCAGACAAACAATAGACAGGCATATGGGGTGAACATTTACATCAGGTAGACAGATACACTCCTTGGAGTGGTAAATCATGGGAAAACAGAAGGGCAGTGTTTGCATAGGAAGATAGCTGGGCAGGGCTGGGGGGAGTGTGGTGGGAGTGCTTGAGGGAGAAGGACACATGGAAGAGGTAACTATGGGGAGGAAGTGGGAACAGAATTGTTACCTTGTGGGGAATTGCAGTCAATTTCATGAAACAAAATGCGTATGAACTGCTGTATGGGAAATGAACTTGTTCTATAAACTTTCACCCAAATCTCAATTAAAAAAAAAAAAAAATCAAGCAACAGATTGCATGGGCAAATCTTCTGAAAAAGACTTCTTTCAAGTGTTAAAATCAAGAGGTCACAGGACTAAGGTGTGCTTGACTCAAACCATGGAGTTTTCAATTATGATGTTGGTAAAGAATATTGAATATACCATAGACTGCCAGAAGAATGAACAAATCTGTCTTGAAAGGAGTACAACCAGGAAGCTTCTTAGAAGGCAGATGGCAAGACTTGGTCTCACATCCTTTGGACATGTTATCAGGAGGGACTAGTCCCTGGAGAAGGACATCATACTTTGAAAAACAAAACAAAACAAACAAGCGCTGCTGTCAAGTCAATTCTGATTTATAGAGACCTTATAGGACAGAGTAGAACTGCCCCATAGAGTTTCTAAGGCTGTAACTTTTATAGGAATGGATAGCCAGGTATTTTCTCCTCTGGAGTTACTGGTGGGTTTGAAATGCTGACACTCCAATTAGCAGCCAAGTGCTTAACTACTGTGACACAAGGGTGCCTACAATTAGTGAGTCCATTTCTATTCCATTTTAAATGAAATGGCAATTGGAGGCTAATGGATGGGGAACTGCAAAATTAAAAGGAACGATGATTTTGTGAAAAGCAAATACATGATGATAGATTACACTGAAACCAACAGTACTCTTGCCTTTCAGTAGTAACTTGCGCTTTGTATCACAAAATTTCATTGAAGGAAGATGGTGAGAGGGCTAAATGACTTGTGAGTTCCTTAAAAGGCTGTGTCTTGCTATCAGGTGACCAAGAAGTCTATAAACAGATATTGTTGCTGTTGAGCACTCTAGACAAAACTATTTGAACTACTGGTTTTATTTGAACTGACCATCAAGATAAACTCAGTATCTGAGATGCAGCTCAAACCTAATGGACCAAGAGTTCCAAAATCGGTCATTATTTTGCAACATTAGTTCATTTCTTGGAATGTAACTCACTTTTGTTGAGCACCCTTGTTTAACCACCATAAGGTTAGCTGAAGTTAAATTCACTTTTTAGCACTCAGCCAAAGAACAGTCAGGTTGTGTACTTAATTCCTTCTCTTTCAGTGGATTGATCTTGGAGGAAGAATACTATCAAGGGCTGGAGATGACAAGGTACTTCCTGGGCCTGTTCTAACCACAGTCCTCTCTGTGGCTTCTCCACTTAGTGTTTCCTTGTCTGGTCTTATTTTCTGCAGAAGTAAACAGGCCTCCCATGCATAACCCATACAAGGAAAGAACATGAAATTGCCTACAAGGGCCTTGACAATTGAGTTTGGCACTTAAGTATTCAACCACTTTCAAAAATAACAACAAAAAAGTACTTGAAACCTAATACCTTATATTCAGCTTCATACCAAAGAACTTTATTTTCAGTTTTTAAAGCTAAAATGTTATGGAAAACAAAATTTTCTCAACTAGTTGCTTCGGAACAATATACTGTATTATGAAGCTCCGTACATTTTAAATGTTTCTGAAATCCTGACAGGACAAAGATAGTCCACCATTTTTTTTCCTCCTTGAATTTTGGAATTTAAACCATTTTCTTCCTTTTGCAGATACTCCTGCACCAAAATCAGGCCGCTGGATGAAAGGAGCCACATAAAAAGTGCATGATAAGTGAGCGTGGAGAACACAGAAATGGAATGCCTCTCAGGCTGAAGATGGCACTGACTTAGTGAAGGCTTCTGCTTCCATGGTCCTCTCTGGGCCTCAGGCCAGGCCAAACCGAAACAGCAGGAAGAAGGGCTATACAATGGTTTCCCCTTGAATCATGCTACTAAAAAAAGGTGCAACGAGAAACAAGTCCCTGTGCATTCTCAGTCACAACTGTGGGCAGAGGAACCCATATGATTCCTCCCTTTGGTATTAAATAACAGTTTAAAAAAGCTTTTTAGAAACAAAGCAAATACATGGTAGGACTGGAAATGTCAGCCATCCCAGGTTAGGTATCCACTGAAATAAGTCTCATCCCTAGTCATAAATAAATAATCTCTTTCCTGGACTGACTTCCACGCCAGGATCAATATCTCTTAACATCTTACTTATTTTATTACTGCTTTTGGTTTTCTGGGACTGATTGAAAGTTGCTCAGAGGAAATCTTTGGTTTTGCTTAAGTGTCCGTGACATTTAATCATGACTTTCCTTGCAGTTTAATTCCAACCAGTCAATCAGTTAATCCACTTCGATTGATTCTGGGCTCTCGGTTACTGGCTTGCACTCATTGGGCATCCGCTGGTGTCGGCTCAGCTGGGTGGCCTGCGTGAAGCTCCTCTCACACCTCTCGCACCTGGTGGAGGCAAGAGAGAAAATTGAGACCAGGGAGCGGGGCCTGCAGGGTGATGGGCTTCCTCTCATCCTGCCTAATCAGAACAGACACTCCAAAGTGGCTTCAGATTTTACCGGCTCAAGAGGTTTAATTGGTGGCTCCTTCCAAGGCCTGGATGCCTGTGATGGGACAAAGCCCATCTGATGCTGAACAGAGGGATCTGTCAATAGGCAGGGGGAAGGTGATTTCTCCAGAGAGCCCTGTCCTGCTACAGCTCTGATCACTGTCAGTTCAAATAGATAAAGAACAAAAAGAGATTTTTAGGAGTAAGCCATCAAAGCAGCAGCTTGTCTGCAGTTTTCTGCTCTGTAACCCCAAAGAGAAATTGATGACAAATAGAATTTCACCTATTGCTAATTTAAAAACAGGAATTCTACTCCCCTTAGCACAGCGGCCAAAGAATGATCATCTCTGAATTTGGAAAATAGAGGAAACAGGACATTAGTTTGCAGTGACTACGGAGGGTGGATTAGGGTGGCTGCTTTTTTGTAAAGGCTAGAGCATCACAGCCCAACTATGTTGAGGGTTAAAACAATGCTGGAGTGGGAGGGAGCTCAGGAACCAGAGATCAATGGATGTTTGTGTAGGTCAAGATGTCCACCTCCGTAGAAAGTACAGTGGAAGTAATAATGTACATGTGGGCCAACATGTCTGATAAGAAGAAAACTGGTTTTACCACTTCAAAAATATCCCCTCTCCTTAACTTAAAAAAAAAAAAAAAATGTAATCTAGAGACCCTGGGCCTATATCTCATGTTCATATCTTCCATACAACACACACTTACTAGTCTGATGGCTACACAATCTACCAAAACTAATACAACCTAGTGGTGGTCTCTAGTTTTTCTGTTGCTGTTCCTGGCATTGTATATATATATGCAGAGATGAACTGTGGCAGGAAGCTCTGTGCAGACAGTGACCCCATCACCACCCTGCACGTCTGGACCCTGCACATCTGGGCTGCTTGGAGCATGTGCTTGGTCAAGCACTTTGCAGGGCACAATGGCCACCTCAGCCATCTCATAATGTCCTCCCCTCAAAGCACTGAAGGTATTCAAGAGTTGCTGACAACTGCCCCCCTTTTAATAACTTAGCTTTGCTTTTCTGGTCCCTATACTACTGGGGAAAAAGCCACAATGTGTCCTCTGCCCTACTGAAAGCCATAGATAAGGAAGTCAGAAGCCCTATTATCCAGTATGTGTCCCTCCTGTTTCTCCTCACTAACTTATAAAAGGTGCCTTACTACAGAAATAATTACTGTAAAATGTAAAACATCCATCTATCATGGGGATTTTTTTTTTTTTTTTTCATATTTTTGTATGTTAGGATGCTGGAGCTTGACTCTTACACTTGGATTTCTCAGGCTCTGTGCCCACTAAGTGTGTCTGTGTGAAGAAGTTGTGTTTCTTTGATTGTCTTTCAGGAAATATTTTTAGCAGACTGTTCCACTGTTAAAAACTGCACTGTGATCTTGACAAATGTATAATGTCAGCTTTAATGTGTCAGACCTATCAGCTCAATGAAAATAACTCAGAAGTATTGATCACCTAATGATTTTTGGTGTATTCATTAAAGTCCATGGGCAGCTCATCCTCTCTTCAGAGCTCCTGAAGTGCTGATGACATGTTAGCGAATTGCTGATTATTTATTAGAAAACTGATTAGTTGCTGGATTAGTGTGTCAAAATATACTACCTTTCACTGCTTGACAAACTTTCAAATTATTATATTCCTTTTTTTTTTTTTTAAGCTCTAGAATCAATTTCAAAGAAAGTGGAATAAACTTGAGCAATTATGAGGAATGACAATTTACCTGGGTCATAATTCTGCTCTTCTAATCCATGTATTAGAATATAAGGAGTTCATAAACTGACAGTTTAGTGCCTCATGTAAGGAAAAAACTTTATATTATATTTAAAAGTTCCGATTGGATGGAGATATTAAAATAAAAGTTGAATTTTTCACAAGCGTTTGTTTAAATGTCTCATAGATATTTATAGACATGGAAGAAATTTGTTGTAGCATTCAGAAAATTCCATAAGTCCAATTTACAGGGTGTGTTTTAAGACCGTTGCTGAAAAATCATTTTTTGCAGTCTGCTCACCTAGTGTGAGTAAAAACATACACAGATGTATAGACAATTATCTTAGTTAAGGTTCCTTTCCCAGAAATTCTGATCTTCTTGAGAAGAGTGGGCTACTACTTGAATTTCTATGTGGTTTGGAAATTATAAGATTACAAGCTGTGTACTTAAGGAAACAAAAGGAGCTAGAGATAAAAAATGCCTTTTAAAAAATGTATATATAGGAAGGGCCTCAGTTTTGTGTTCATTGCCTTCAATTTTAGAAAAAGTTCATTCACAAAATATTTTCATAATTTAATGAAAGTCATCAGAAGGACAGCCTCCACTAAACTATCTAGGTGCTAGAAGGTCAGAGCCCTGACTTCCGTTGGTTAGCATTTAATTAACACTGAATTATAAACCCAAACACGTAATTGTATATGAGCATGTCTAAGCCTGGATTCATATGGAGCAATGGAACAAGACAAGAATCCCTGGTGGCACAGTGGCTAAGCACTCAGGTGCTAACTAAAAGTTTGGCTGTTCTCAACCTATCCAATGGCTCTGAAAGAGAAAAGACCTGGTGATCTGCTCCCATAAACATTACTGCCTAAAAAAACTCTACAGGTAAGTCTACTCTGTTATATGGGTTAGGATGAGTCAAAATCAACTTGATGGCATAATCAAAATAAGGAGGGAAAAAAGATGTAGAGAATGAGCTAGGAGGAAGGAAATGGTCTTGCACATTGAGATCTTCCCTATGTGTGCTTTCTCTTAGTAGAGGTGCTGATGTCACAGCCTTGAGAAGAACATCGCCTGAACACTGAAGTGAAAAGTCTTCTAAATATTTCAGCAAAGAGAAAGTCTCCAGCTTTCTACCAGTATGAGAATCCTTACTATACTTCATTTACTTTTAGATTAGAGATCATTCATTACTTAATGTAGCAGTTGATTGGGTTGTATGTATTGGAAACTTAACAATTAGCACCTGAGACTGACAGATGAGCAAAACCAAGGAAAGTTCTGCTCCACAGAAACCTGCAATCAAACTTCCTGTGCTTCCACAAGTCACAAAATACTTCTAGAACGGAACCAAATTGCACAGAGCTTCACACATGATGTGCTCAATGCATATTTACTGATTTGTATTGATTTTGCCTAGATCTGTGCAAACATCAGTGGTCCTTCGGAATTTCCTTTGATTTTTATACTGAGCCAAACTGTCTTTACCTAAAGCAAAAGCAGAGTGATGAATATTTCCACCTATTTGGATAAGGCATTGCCTGGTAACCAGAAGATCAGTGGTTTAAACCCACCACCTGCTCTGCAGAAGGAAGATAGTGCAATCTACCTTCATAAAGATTTACAGTCTTGGAAACCCAATGGCAGTCTCTATGAGTTGAAATCAACTTGATGGCAGTGAGTTGGTTTTATTTTTGTTGTTTTTTTTCCTAGCAAAGCTGAAGAGAAGAACTCCTCCTAAGGCAAGTCCTGGTTTGCTCTTGTAGCTTCCCAGGATCAGAAGGCAGGAATCAAGCAGTTCATACGGATCCTCTCACACAGAGCAGAGAAGCCATCTGAGATCTTAAGAGATTATTTTTAATGACAGAGAAGAAAGGAGTCCTCTCTGTGAAGACTCTTTAGACTGGCAACCACCTCCCTCCCTCCCTCCAATTACCATAAAGTGCTTGGTAACTGCTGTTTAAAAAAATGATGACTTGCTTTTGCTCCTTCTCCACCATGGCATCTAGTTTTACAGCACAAACTGAAAGCCAAGATCTCAGGTATGATCCTCTGACATTCAATTTACCTACATACTCATTTATCACAGAAATTCTATGTCTACAGCCTAGGTCAGTTGCTGAGATGTCTGTGTTCTAGCTATAGCTCCAGGGATGGAGTCTTTCAGTGAGATGTCAGCCAAGCAGATTGTGAGGCAAAGCCTAGACTGAAACTCTGTTCATTTAATGCCAAGTCCTTTACATTCTTCTTCGGTTTGCAATAATCTTGCTGTTCCTTGAAAAACCACTTCTCAGGTGAAGATTTTAGAAGTTGGAAAGAGCTTTCGCCTTCCACTGAGATTTGCCCCTGAGAACTCTGAAGGTTTCCTGGACCCTGGATAGGTAGCAAAATTTGGGGAATGAGCCATCTAGGGCATCTATTTGGAAACCACCCAAGGTGTACAGTTTAGGGTTGTGCATCTTTCCAAGATTCTTTTCCTTCTTTGAAAAATTGTTTAAGCCAATGCCCATTAGTTGATGTTGTAGTAAAATGAACTGTTGTGGCGAAACCCATTTTATTGACTAATCTGCAACAAAAGTTTTTCAAATGTTTGTTTTATAAGCTTGTAAAAGGATAGCTTCATAATATTTATAAATGTCCCTAAGACAGACATCCATGAGCTACAGTTGGAAGATTCCCAAAACTCCCTTGGAACAGTTCAATCTTGAAAGACTTGGTTGTATACACTAAAGGATTTAAATTTCCATTTCCTAGAAGATATTTAAATCTTGCACTTTTAAAATAAGCATACACTTAGCTCTCCCCTAGGAATATATATTTGATAAGTAAATGAAAAAAACCTACAGCACGTCGCTATCTTGATATGAGCAGGAGCAGAAGAAATTAAAACATGCACATAGAATTGAAACCAACCCACAAGGTTGTTGCCTTCCCCCTACCCTGCCCAAGGAAATTAGGTTATGGTCACAAAAAATACTTTTGCCGAAAAGAAAAAAACCCACAATTACTAAAGCCCTTCAAATAGTAATCTGAATTAAAATCAAGTTAAAATGGCAATTGTATTGGAAACATGACAAAAACAGGATGTTAAAGAAAAAAAGTTGAGTGGAGTCAACGAGGTTACACATAAGTAACACCTTAACATTAATAGAAATCTAT